TCGGCGCAAACACAATTACAATATTATAATTGTCAAAGGCGCAACCTATAAGAATCAACGATTGTTCTTACAATTTTATACATTACACTGTGTCTAGAACTTGAGGCTATGCATACATCATACAATCATTTACATAATAATACACAATAATTAATATGTAAATTATACAATTATTGATGTATCCTTCATAAAATTTAGCAACCTAAAATGAATAATTCTATTGAAAAGTTTCCCTAAGTTTGATATGGAAATACCTCTGTATAACTACAAGGATCAAGTTTGTTACCGGTACATATATGCAAGAGTACCAAAATACAAGGACACCAATTCAAAAAAGTACAATGAAATCAAATGGCCATGTCCACAAGTAATGTCAATAATGAAAAGATTTTACAGTAATTGTACATGATGTAGCTGAGTCACTGAAATTTTAGCTTTCACATTTTGATGCAAAATATCTGTTTTAAGATGAACATATTTTCAAAGATTTTGTAACACGTGGACCTTTTTTCACAATTTCAGAAAGGAGATGGTATATTCCATCTTTACAGTCTCTGTTATATGCAAGTTGTAAAAATCTAAAACAAAGTCCACTCCCTGCAATCCTGTTTGCAATGTGTCTACTGACTATCTTCTCTGAAATCAAATGCTCTAATGAAGGTAAATTCTTGCGCACTTCAGAACTATAAAAATAGCTATCAACTGCATTAGAAAATGTGAACGAAGAAGAAAAATACTTTGAATCATCTAAATCCACACCTACAGAGGTAACTAGTTTTTGTAGCGCTAAAACATCCTCTAGTGCATCATGAGCCTTGTACGTTTCACCGATATAATGCTTGTACAAATTTGGTAATGAAAATGAACCCACATTGGGATCAAAAACTTTGAACAGCTGTTTTGTGTTAACAAACCCTGCAACACAGTTACCAATATCCTGGGTTTAACAACAATTCTGTAGAGAATTTATAAAAATATGACAGTCAAAGGACTTCACATTATGTCTAATTAAGACAATTTTTGACTGGAATTTTGTGAAAAAATTCAGTAGTGCATCAACAGCAGTCACCAAAGGAACAGCATTCACTTCCTCATCACCATGAAACATTTTCCCACCCAAAACTCTGAATCCAGTAATTTCTGTGGCCTTGTCTGTGATTGGGACCTTTGGTAAAATGTACTGGGAAAACGTGTCCGACCCACATACAGCAGCAATTTGAGTGATGTGTGAGCTTCTGGCTGAAAGATGAAACATAGTTATCATTTATCAGTGAGAGAGTGTCTCCACAAGATTATAATCACCTATAGATTTCCCATTGTCATACTAATTCAAATAAACCATAGAATAGAAAGTATCATTTTACAGTTAAATTTATCAGCATCCTTATTCTTTACATTGATAATTTTTAATGTACAGTTTAGCTCATTGGATACACAGTACCCATGGGCACTCTGTGAAGTTTGAAAGCAAGAATGGGCCAAGGGGCCAGAATTAAAGTTGCTCTTGAAAAGTGATTATGGTTGGACAGATGGACAGCTAAACTGATCAGTGATCACCATAAGGCACCAACTGAGCAGTACTCTAAAGAGACAACTGATGTAAATCAAATTGATTATGTATGCCTTTGTGTGAGAGGATGTTTTCTTAGAGGACTAACCTAGTCCTGTTGATTCAAGGTCAAAGTAGCTTGTGGATAATCGCTCAAATTTTCGATTGGCTGGAAGGATGCTTTACTTATAGGCGGTGGTATTTCACAGACATCAATACTGATGGCCATGGCTATTCCAGAGCAATAAGTTGAACCTTCTCTTATCTCCTTGGCTGCTGTCATTTGCTTTCTAAGAAGTAGAAAGTATTGAATGTAAAAAAAAATGCATTCTGTTAAAATTTACCATAGACTCATTATTTAAAAGGCACTGTAAAAAGGTTGGTTTGGCATTATGCATCTGCAATTTTCATTTTAGAAAAAAAATTAATTGCAATGTAAACAAACTGGATATATGATAATTAAAATGGTAAAGAATTTCATTCAAACCTCTCTGCTTTTAGGTGCAGTCTTCTCATTTTTGCTTCTTTGGTTATGGACACCGCTTTTTTCCGTCTCCTAATTCTGTCCTTTAACAGCCAACCTCCTTGTATAGGCTCCAGAAGAAATACCAATTTTCTTGTTGACCTTTAGAGAATAAGAAAGACATAATGTTCAATTCATTACAAAAACTTCTAACATATACCTTAGGTAGACACAAAAGTCATTAAAATAGTTCACTATCACTTTCTGTGTCTTCGGTCAATATCAATTGCCATGAGTCCTTATAACCACATATTGACCTACACTGAAGTCCATAATTGTATAATATTGCTTACTTGCATCAGATAGCCTTGACCAATATTTTTTTGTGCACACTTGCAGCTACTCTGTAGCTTATGGTTCTGCTAAAAAGACGATTCTTTGGAGCCTTGGATGCTATAGTTTTGTTAAAGCTTTCGTTTGGTTGCGTGCTGCCAAGGTTGGCTAATTTCTGTGAATGTTTCTTTAACTTGTTAAAGATGTCTTCCAAGTCTTGCTGCAGAGCTTTATTCTCCAATGGTCGACCATATGGGAGTGATGTAAATTTCTTAGCTGGATCCCTTTAATGGTGACACCAAACTTTATCGCATTCTTTATGGTTATCAAAGGGATGAGAGGACAGTGCTGTCAATCCTTTTTCAATTCCACTTGGGCTGCCCTGGTTCTGTGAAACCATGTAATTGAAACACTTCTGGATGTACATATACTTGATAACTTTTGTAGACAGGTTTTTATGTGTTTTCTGAAGATTGTACAGGGAGTTTGCAACATTCTTTTTCACATGGTTCTTGTCAGACTGTTTTCTAATGTTTGCATCTAATTCACTGTTGATACGAGATATTGCAGTAGTATCATCATCCCCTATCACCGCCTCCATCCTTACTCCTTTATTTAGTGTCCTTCCTACCATCTCTACCACCATGTCTGGCTTCATGGACTTTGAGCTTCCTGTAATTACAATTTATTATAAGCATTTAAAACAGAATTTTCCTTAAGAAGTAGTATATCTCTTCTCCCTCAGATTTTAAAAAAGAAGTTTGTGTAAGCCAATGCTTACTAGTAATACCCCCACTCTGATATGAATATACACTATCATGTGAATATACACAAGGTCAGTTACGGAAAGACGCCTGGATAGAGGAAATTGACATCAGATTCACACAATGAGTAGTCGTTGAGAAAACTGTGGAAAAATCTGTTATGTATGGTAAGGACAGATACACAGATAAACAGGAAGTTGACATCGGATTTCAACTAAAATGGATCCCACCATATGACATACCTAAACAATAAGTTTGCCAAAATTTCAAGCAACTGCGATGAGTAACTGCAACCAAATATTTCTTATGAACAGCTAGATGGCTATACGGACAGACACACGAACAGACACACAAGGATAAGCGGTATATCCCCTTCTCCTTTGGAGTGGGGATACAAAAAAGAAGATTTCATAGAGTATATATATATATATTTTACATTGAATTGATACTCTGGTTGTTACATGCAAATACTAGTATTTACATAAAACCTGTTGAAGTTCCCCAGGTGACATATTACCTGTCCAATTTCTAGTGCAATCATGTGGAGCAGGAGAGGTTTTCTTTCTTTCTGCATTTTCACAAACCTTGCAGGATTTATTGCGAATACTGTAGTCAATGACTTTTCCTGTACAAACACCCATCATTGAGCCCATCATTGAGCAATGGCCTAGACATGAATTTTTATGAAAATCAATATTCATAAATTTTGGATATATATTATCAATTGCAATTCATTAAAATAGAGTTGTCTGGGTATTACTCTATAAGCTATAAAGCTACTACTAAATCATATATAGAAGTATGAAAAATAATTATTTCCATTATCAAATATGTTAAGAAATAAAAATTAATTTCTCATAATCATGATTATTATTTGATGTAAAGCAATATCATATTATAAACAATTTTGAATACATGTACCATATAAAATATGCATATGCCGTAGCCTATAATAATGTTTTTCTGGCGATTATTAGATCATATATTCATTAATCCCAAAGACTGATCCATATACCTGTGAGGCTATGATAGGAGCAGCCACTTCCACGCTTTTGCCAGCCCTCGTCCACACTGACACTTATGCTGGATGACTGTTTCTTTCCGTGGGAAGATATACAGTGGATAAATAAACATTCCTATAAAATGAAAAATAATTTCCTTATACTAACAGCTATATCATTTGATGTTTTTTTTTTTTGTAAAATATATCTCTGTTTAATGCTCAATAATGCTAATGCAGTTTTTAAAAAATGCTTGGAAAAAACTTTTGTTATCTTTTGGATCAAAGAATGCTACAATTAAACCATGTGTAATACTTTTCATCAAAATTGTGAAAAAATTACATGTTTGTCGCTAAAACTTCTTCTTCTAGGGCTTCTTGGAGAGATAAAGAAGCGACACTTTCAGTAGCCTTCCCGATCTCTTCTTGTCGACTACTGAGCAGTGTTCTGCTGATGGGTGGCATGTTCAGCTCAGCCAGTATTCCGCTTATCTGGTCAAAACCTATCCCAGTATGCTGGACAGCTGAACATGAAAAAAATAATAAAATACATACTGTTGACTTGTCAATTAATTAGGTTAAAAAATCAGTTATATAAAATTGTAAATAAATTTTTAAACCTGTTATTTCTAAAATTTGATTTTATTAATTAAGTGAAAAAAAAGTTGCTTTAAAACAGTAAGTATTCATTTTATTATGATGCGCGAAATATTGTGCAATGAAAACCAAAGTCGGCCCCCTTAAATGTAAACAAGTGAATAATGATTTTGCCTTTGAAACCCCAAAAATGCATTTTCATTGTATTATTAATGCATTATTTTATCTTTTTAGGCACTGTTTTCAAAATACAGGCTCAAGGATAATGTTATCAAACTAAAGGTTGGGGGGCAAATGTTTGAAACCTATCAGACGACTCTGATGAGAGATCCAGATTCCATGCTCGCCATCCGTTTCAGTGGACGCCATGATCCTGTTACAGTTGACGGAGCTCATTTCTTTGATAGAGATCCCAAGTATTTCGATTGCATTCTGAATTATCTCAGAGATGGAAATATAGCAGCAGAAACTCTACCAAAAAATACAGCTGAGCTGCATAAAATTCGTAAGGAGGCGGACTACTATCAGTTGTCGGGTTTGCAAGAAGAAGTCGAAAAAATAATTCAACAGAGTAACAGCAATACAGAAGAAAAGGCCAAAACAAGTATGTTCAGAAATCAGACAATATTTATCACAAGGGCTAGATTGGTGCAAGGTGAACTGGTGTGGATTTCATTTCAGGAATTTGCAAAGCATTTCCAACATTTTAAAATTTTATTTTCGACATTCTTTTTCTCCATTTTTGACATTTATTATTTTTTTTTATTCCTTGCATTTTTGTAGGGTTACTCTGTGTCAATTTTATAAAAATCATTTTAAACCAAATTTCAAAATATAAATAACTAGAGGTACTGTGATCAAAAAGTAAAATAGGAGGTGCACAATGGCTATGTATGGCACGCCAAATTCACAAAAATGAGCTAAACCTAGTTTCACAATTGATAAACTAATTTACAAACCGTAAACTATAGTTAACGATTCGTAAAGTATAGTTTTCATCTGTAAAACTATATCTAACGGTTGTTAACTATAATTTACAAATGCTAATCTAAGTTCATCTGTCTGTAATAAGCGTTAACAATAGATTTTATTGATAAACATAGATTCACGTTTGTAACCTACAGTTTACAATCGTAATCTATAGTTAAGAGCTTTTAATCATAGTTTCACAAGTCGTGAAACTGTATTTATCAGATAATCTATGTTTTGCAATCGCAAATGATTGTTTTCGGTGTTAAGTATAGTTAGCGGTTGTGAAACATAGATTATCGCGTTAATCATAGTTTACAGATGTAAAATATAGATTAACGTTATAAACTATAGTTTACAGTCCGTAAACTATAGTTTACAACTGATAAACCTAGTTTATCGATTGTGAAACTATGTTTAGCTCATTTTTGTGAATTTGGCGTGCCATTGCTATGTAATAAAGAATCTGTGAAAGCATCATACATTTCATTCAGTGGTATTGGCCTAGAGCACTTGCGGATAAGAGATGGGTAACCCAGAGCACAACGAACGGACGTACAGACAGACATCCCCATCACTATATATTCTTCTGTCTTTCTAGCGGGATGTATTAAAATGTCTTAACTTGGCGTGTGTTGGGGTGCATCTTTTTGTGTGATGGTGTGTGTGTGTGTGTAAGTGAAACCACAACGGTTACAATTTATACATCAACTTTATACGTGTTCTTTACGTACCTAATTTGATACCTTGTAGGCCTAGGAATGGGAAAATCCACATTGACTAAAACAATGAAGGAAATAGCAAAGGACGTTTATCGATCATATAATACAGAAGAGATGGAATTTTATGAAGAGAAAGGTACAACAGTTGTAAATTATTATCAAATCATAATATTTATCATTGAATTATCTAAAATTAATTCTACATTGAAGTTATTGCTATGACTTATCATTTTTCTAGCCATTGACGCAGTGAAAGAATTTAAGAAGTTAAAACAGAACAACTCACCCTTTCAGAGAGGTAAAGCTTTAAATCCCATATGCTATAAGTGAAAAGTAACAAGGAGGTTCAGGCGCGGATCCAGGAATTGAAGTTAGAGAGGGCGCCAAAAGGAGGCAAGGGGTCTGGAGGCCCATGTGGGTCCTGGGCAAAGCCCCCGAAAGCTCCTGGATTTTAGAGATTTTGTAGGGTAAAAATGAGGTCTACCAAGTAGACATATTTACATTTTCTAGACGAAACTGATTTACGTTAACTTTGACAATTTTAGGAGGGGGGGGGGGGCGCCGGGTGCGTCCGATTTAAGAGTATGGTTCAAAAGTAATGGCAAAAATCAAAAAGCTATTTTATGCATATAGATCACAGTGAAGGTCACAAAGTCATTGACCTTGGTGTCAGTTGAAAGTGCTTAAGTAGTGCAGTATGCATACCAAATAAAGTCTCTATATCTCACGGTTCAAAAAATACAGCGAAGGTTAAGGTTGACAACAGACAGATCAACAGAGAAACAGACAGACAAACAGACAGACAGGAAAAATAACAATATATGCCCCGAATCTATCGATTCGGGTGCATAAAAGACTGTTTGGTTGTAATATATTGACAACCAATTTTAACTTATTAATTATGCGCCCGGATCGATAGATCCAGGGCGTATATTGTTTTTGTCCTGTCTGTTTATCTGTTTGTCTGTTTGTCTGTTGTCAACTTTAACCTTCGCCATAACTTTTGAATCATAAGAGATACAGACTTCATATTTGGTACGCATACTCCACTAATAAAGGCCTTTCAAATGACATCAGGGTCAATGACCTTGTGACCTTGACTGTGACTTATACGCTAAAAATAGCTTTTTCCATTGTTTGTCATAACTTTTGAACCATAGGAGATAGGGACTTCATATTTGGAATACGTACTCCACTAATGAAGTCCTTTCGAATGACGTCAAGGTCAATGATCTTGTGACCTTGACTGTGACCTATATGCTAAAAATAGCTTTTTCTACTTTTGGTCATAACTTTTGAACCATAGGAGGTAGGGACTTCATATTTGGAATACGTACTCCACCAATTAAGTTCTTTCAAACGACACCAAGGTCAATGACCTTGTGACCTTGACAGTGACCAACATGCTAAAAATAGATTTTTCGAAATTTGTTGCCGCCGGGTGCATAGTGTTTCACAAACACATCTTGTTTTTAACTTGTTATTTCTTCTTATTAACTGTATCAGAATGACAAACTTGCTGTTTTGAGTTTATTTTATGTGCCTGAATAGATAGATTCGGGGCATATATTTCTTTGTCCTGTCTGTCTGTCTTTCTGTCTGTTTGTCTGCAAACTTTAACCTTCGCCATAACTTTTGGACCACGAAAGATGGAGACTTCATATTTGGTATGCATACTCCACTAATAAAGCTCTTTCAAATGATTCCAAGGACAATGGCCTTGTGACATTGCCTGTGACCTATGTGCTAAAAATAGCTTTTTTCTGCAAACATTAATCTTCGTCGTAATTTTATGAACAAGAAAAGGTAGAGATTTCATATGTAGTATGCATATTCCACTAATTAAGTTCTTTAATTTCCAATGATACCAATGCCAATAACCTTGTGACCTTGACTGTGACCTATATGCTTAAAATAGTTTTTTGTCTTCAAACTTTAACCTTTGCCATAACTTTTGAACCATGGAGAAAGATGGGGACTTCATATTTAGTAGGCTAACTTCACTCATTAAGTTCTGTCAAATGACACCAAGTTAATTGACCTTGTGATTTTAACTGCTACCTATATGTAAAATATAGCTTTTTGAACGTTAATCATAACTTTTGAACCATGAGAGATAGGGACATCATATATGGTATGCATACTCCACTGATCAAGTTCTTTCAAATGTTACCAAGTTCAATGACCTTGTGATCTTGACATTGACATATATGCTAAAATAGCTTTTTTGAACTCTGTGCCTCTGGGCGCAAAGTGTTTCACAAACACATCTTGTATTGGGTTAATTTCATTTGAGATAAGTGGAAACTTGACCTTAGAATCTTTAGCAAATTTAGCAATTAAAATTAAGTTAGGAAAAAGATTTTCCAGCATTTGTTTTGTATATGTAAAAAAATGTCTTCTCTTATCTAATGAAATTGGAGGGGATATAAATAAAAGCCCCTGAGAATGATATCGTACAATCATAAAGGGGGGAGGCTACCGGGTTTTATTGAAATTTTTCAATAGCAAAAAGTTATATGTTAGGGAAAAAAGTATCAGGAAGCACTCCCCCTGTTGCTATGCGCCTGTAATTTACCGCCATGTAACATTTTTGCATGGGATATAGATATTTATATATATCTTTTTTTTTCATTAAGCCATTGTTATAGGATGTGAGAGACATATACTTGTAATTTATTTTTTTATTGATCTATACCACAAAAAATTTTGTGACTTTGGAAAGAAACCTTGAGCTAATGTGAATTTTCACGGTCTTACATGGCTCTGGCTTTTAATTTTGAGCTGTAAAAATTATGTTCAATACTTAAACTAAATTCATTTTTTGAAGGAAAAAATATGCATGTTATAATACAATAATTATTATGATTGTGATTAAAGACTGACAAGGTAATTTCTATTTAGTTGAAACATTTAAAGTGTATATATGTATTGTAAACCCCCAGCCTCCTTAATAGATGTACATATAACTGCAATTCCTCTCATATTGGAGTCTGAAATTATTTTGAAACTGAATTTAAAAAAATAAGTATAAGATTGAATTTTAATATGACAAATTTTTGCTGCGATTGTTAAAGCTATAAGAATAAAGTGATTCAATATGCATAGACATTTTCATAATCCAGGGGGTCATGTTGCAACCACTATTGTTCTAATTATTTCAGTATTGGCTGAGAGTTCATTTCAATAACAAACAAGATTTGTTTGTGAAACACTATGCGCCCGGCGGCAATAAAGTTAAAAACATATTTGTAGCATATAGGACACAAGGTCATTGATCTTGGTTTCATTTGAAAGAACTTGATTAGTGTAGTATGTAAAGTATGCATACCAAAAGTGAAGTCTCTATCTCCCATGGTTCAAAAGTTATAGTGAAGCGATTTTTAGCATAAAGAACACAGTCAAGGTCACAATGTCAATGACCTTGGTGTCATTTAAAAGAGCTTTATCAGTGGTGTATGCATAGCAAATAAGAAGTCTTTATCTTTTATGGTTCAAAAGTTATGGCGAAGGATAAAGTTTTTTGATGCTAAAAACTATTTTTAGCATATAGGTCACAGTCAAGGTCACAAGTTCGTTAACCTTGAAGTCATTTAAGACTTTTATTTAGTTTTTTTAATAGTGGAGTATGCATACCAAATATAAAGTCTCAACCATTCATGGTTCAAAAGTTTTGGCAAAGGTTAAACTTTGCAAACAAACAGACAGACAGACAGACAGAGAGGACAAAAACAATATACGCCTTGGATGTTTCGATCCGGTGCATAACAAAAATTGCATCTACTATTGAAGTACGGCCTCTATTGAAATAATTATTTCAGTAGTGGGTGAGAGTGCATTTAAATAACAAAAATAGGTTGCAACCGCTACTGAAATACGACCATATAATTGAAATAATATCTATTAAATAGTCGTTGAGAGTTCCTTTAAAATCTTAACATTGATTGCAAACACTTTTGAATTACAACTAATCAGTACAAAACACAGGTAGCAAACACTAGTGAAATAGTGTTTACTATTGAAAGAATGAATCTAATAGTGATTGAAAGTGCATTTCAAATGAGAACACAGGTTGCAACCACGTTCTTAATTAAACTAATACAGGAGGGTCAGTTAAGTAAAGAAGAGGCCCATGGGCCACATCGCTCACCTGAGCATTGGGGCTAGAAAGAAGTAGAAATTGGTTTTTTTATTGAAAAGTTTAAATCTTAAAGTAGTCCCATGACCAATCATGGCTTTGGCCCCGCCCTACCCCTGGGGGTCATGATTTGAACAAACTTGAATCTACACTACCAGAAGATGCTTCCTTTCCGAAGGTCATTTAAAAAATACGTAGACTCAGGGTTCTCCATGAGCTGTTTTACTGTGTTGCTCCCGACACAGTAAAATTTTCTCCGACACAGTAACGATTCAAATTTCATGCATGCGACACAGTAAAAAATTTGCCGACACAGTAAGAGTTGTGATAATTTGAAAATCTAAACACACAAATTCTCTCTAACTGAAACTCTAATCAAACAATTCTACCGTCTTTCAATTCAAAAAGTTATAACACTTAATTACTAGGGCTTCACCTTTAGTTATCAATCAATTATCTCCTAGACCCTCGCCGGACGTTACGCATGTCGGAACAAAGACAATTAAACTGTTTTCACAATTCAATGTACCGGTTAATTGGTAGTTGCAATAAAATACATAGTATTATTTATGAAAAATATTTAAAGATGTCTTTTGCTCTAGAATTATGTAAGCACTGTAAGTCAAACATAACATCGTACCGAAGTCATTTATTTGATGTAAATTAATTGCCGAAAATTTTGAAATTTCAGCATGTTCAAGGAACTCTTTATTATATTTTACTGTTCTGAAGTTCCTTTTTTGTAATGCGGTAACTCGATCAAGAAACCTGATAAATAAATACGGCAAATCTATAAGAAGTTCGACTATCGGTGAGAATTTCCTCTGCTTTTCAGAACGTTTTTCCTTTTTATCGGTATGTACGACCATGCCATTTGTGTAACGAAATGCGATTTTTAAATAAGTGTATGATTGCGTAATTGTGATTCAGCTGCGAATTTGTTCGCGAAAATACCGCGAAATATTAGTGCTTCGCGTAAACTTTGCAACACAGTAAAATCTCATATGATGGAGAACCCTGAGACTATACGTATAGACTATACATCATCATATTATTAAATCGAGATGATAAATGAACACATTATCGTAAATATGATCATTTATTTTGTCGAAGTGTGAAGTTTTATTCCATTTGATTAAATAGAACTCAAGTTAGACAATTTTTAAAGCAGCATGTTTTGTTAGCACGGAGCACTGTTAACCAAAATTGCATTGTCAAAAACAATGCCGAGAAAGTTTCTCAAAATTATTCTGCTTTTTAATTTCATACACAGTTTTTAGCGTCTTCTCCATTCATAAAAATGTATCCATAACACTT